GACTATTACACCAAGATCCCTTTCCTTCATAACACTATTAAGGTAATTCCCAACCAAATTATACTTAAATTCAAATTATGATAACCCACATGCATTATCTTACATATATTATAATTAAAACCCATCTGTCATTTATTTGTCTAACTCACTAAATGATCAAAATCGTTTTGTAAATCAGCAGCATTTTCTTCACAGGTAGTAACACTCAAGACCTTAATATCATCTGAAACTTTAAGTAATATATTGACTATCCCTTTATATGAATAACAAGGATTAGCTTAAAGATTAATTTAGTTTAGAGGATAAAACAGTCGAGATGGACCATTAGGTCCCATGTTGTCCCGAAACATTATGTTAAATAAATATACAAGTGAAAAACAATATGAGATAAAGTATTTTCTGTAGAAAAATTATCAAAAACCTTGAAGCACTGAGTTTTGGAGAATTAAAGCACCATTATATTTGTATTAAGATAATTATCTCTAAGACCAGAGGCCACCAGTATCATAAATAAAAATATTTGATTGAATGTATTTGCAGTGTGAACATATTTGTATGTTAAATGTTCTGCATGGTTATCATGTTTCACAATTTATCCCTGTGGTTCCTTCATTAATAGGTCCAGGCAGTCAAATCACTCCTATCTGAGTTGCTGCAATGTTTTAACGGAAGAGAGAACTCATTGATTCCTGGGCACTCCTGGTTTCACATGATTTCAGTTTATCAACATATCCCTCTATATAGAGCTAACTTATAGCTTCTGATAAGAAGTCTGTCATACTTCACCCAAGACTAATGTAATTTCTATATTTCATACGTCCAATATCATAAATATAGGAAAGTTATAATCTACAACTTACAACTTCTATTTCCAATGGCTCATAATTATAATTTCATAATTCATTACAGGATTACTCATTCTGTGTCTGTTAATCAATTTACATATTTCATATGAACTATATAATAATAATAGTTAATAGTAATACAATTACGTTTAGTTTCCAACTGTGCTACCACATTCTGTCGAGTAATATCACATTTCTTTGACAGTAATTCACATGTGTATAAAAGAGACAATTGTCCAAATTCTTTCTTTATCAGTTTTAGCTACATAGTTTTGAAACAGCTGTTTCTGGAGAAAAATTATGTATTTATTTTTGTATAATGTTTCTTGTAAGACGCCTATCCTAGAGTGACAAGGACTTAGACTTGCTAAAATGTGCCAACCCTTATATTCCTATTGTTGCCATGAAGCCTGAACATAAACAGTTTGATCTGAGTATATTTAACTGATGGACAATAATGAAAAATGGGTCAGTTTTGTTCTAAATATCCAAGAAAACTGGATGAGAACTCACATTAAGTGATTCCAGAGCATTCATAGAGTTAATTGACACATTAAAGATCATATAATTAGTGTAATTCTTAGCCTTTACATAATTCAAAGCAAAGGAAATGGCATATAACTCAGAAGTGAACACAAAATCTGTGCAATCATATGCTACAGCAGAGCCCATGGTCATATGATTTTAAAACCCTCCCAAGTCTGTACTTACATTTAGGATTATCTGATTTCTTCAGATAATAACTTTAGAAAAGGTCACTAATTGGGATGTTGACAAGCCATGGTGGAATGGGCTGATAAACAGATTTACCAATATCATCCTATTTGAGATCCAGTTCAGTTAACTATACCTGCATAATAAGGGCAAAGGTAGGAATAGAGACATGAAGACACTGCGAAATGGGATGATGTGCTACAAACCTGAGCTTAGCAATGTACTGCAAAGAAAGGTGTGCGAGGTGAGGTAGAAGTTCATAGGTCTCTGAGTCAGTGTACAAACTCTGGACTAGAGAAGTGCAAAATGACCAAAAGCAGTAATCAATACCCTGATTATGTACAGAATCTAAAATATTCAAGACAGAATTCTTGGCTGAACCATAGAACAGCTTTGATTGAATGAGACCTTCAGCATCAAAAACCTATAGGGTTCACAAGAAGTGGAAAGAGGAAACCAAGGATACACATTGCCCTTGTACACTTGAAACTAAGGTGCTTAATATGTAGAATAAACAACAGATTATGGTTAAAGAGAAGACCTAAGAATTGTATCTTAGTCAACACATGAATAACAGTACCTTCTAGAAAGAACTTTGGATTATAGTGTAATTCTTGCTGCTGACAAAATGTATACAAATGATTTTAGAAGAAAAATAAATTGAAACTGTTTGTTGTGGTCCATTCAGATAAGGAAGTAAGGGCAGTTTGAAGCTGTTGCTCAAAAAACTCCTACCTGACAACATAAATAAAATCTAAAGTTCATCAATACATTGACTGTTTGAAACTGTAGGAGGAAGTTGTTCAATGATGGTATTGATTTTAATGCTAAAAATTGTGTCACTCAAGACTTAGCCGTTATGGACTCCAAGTACCTGAGAATAGTAAGACAATGTTGATCAAAACAGATTTGGAAAGATTTGTCATTTAAAGACCAATACAAATAATAATGCGTAAATGGTCATGCAGTCCATGGGAATATAGGTTCTGTAAGATGCCAGTTTCCCACGTAGTGTCATAAGCTTTCTAGATAACATAAAATATCAAACCAAGATGCTCCCGCTCGAGGAAGGCTTCTCTGACTGAGGTTTAAGGCCAAATCAGGTGATGCACAATGAAATGCTATCTGTGGAAATCGCACTAGGTGGAAAAGAGAACATTCTTTAATTCAAGGAACCATAGAAGATGAACATTATTCATCATCTCCAAAACTGTATAGAGACAGTCACAGCAATGTGTCGATATCCTTACCAGGTTTATAATATTTGATTGCAACTGCTCTATACTACATATATCTAAAGTCCGTCAATTGCCAAATCCATTTAAAAACTAGGAGAATAAAAGATGCAGGAGAGAAATGACTAAGCATCTGATTATAAAAGTTATCCAACCCTACATATGTATTACCATATGAATGAAGAGCAACTTTACGTTAAACCATAGTAATTGGTTGATTATAATCAAACCCTTTTGTCTCATGATTTGATGACCAGGTTGGCAGGGGAAATGGTACATGTGCTAGAATGTTGAGAGAGAAGCATTCTTCAACAATTTGGAAATACCCTGTAAATCAACAACCTCTTGACCATTGGAAAGCAAGATCAAAATGGATGGAAGGTACAATTCTCACATACACTTTGAATTTTACCCCAAACAACCATGGAACTAGCAATGGAAACAATATAGGAAGCTTACTTAATCCAAAATTTCTTCTGGATTTAATGTTTGATCTTCCAGGCATGGACACAAGCCTGCTGAAAGGAAAAGTGTTTAGGAAGAGTGGTATATCAGCTGAAGATATCCCATGCCTCTTTTTGGACCTTTTAAGTCTGTTGGCAGTCAAGATAACAACACGGATGATGATACCATGGTAAACATGTTGAGGATTTAGGAATCAATGTAATAGCCGCCTGAACAATACAATCAGTTACTACCTCCATACAGTTGTTAATAGACGAAAGGTTAACAACAGACATACTCAAGCTGAGAAAAAATTTGTCAACCAGCTCCAGCTACCAGTAGAGAGAAGTGGAACAAATGGAGAGAGGAATAGCAATATGTACAGAACCAATACCGAAGTGAGGGAAGTTGTGATCTACGAGTATATATTTAATATAATAAAAGTAACTAAAATTAAGTCATTCAAGATGGTAACCTGTTATCAAGTGTTTAATTTAATATGGTTTAAAGGTCAATAAAACAATAAAATTAAATATATATAAAGATGTATGCGATTATAAGCTTTAAAATATTTAAGATGAAGAAATTA